GCTGGTGGTGCTGGTCCTGGGCCAAGTGACTGGTGATGATGATGGGCGAACAGGAAGACAGGCCGAAGCAGAGTGCATGCAGTTCGACCAGAGGAGTGTAGCCAGTGAGATGGAAGGATGTGCGAGGAAAGAGGGTGAAGAAGAGGCGTAACCGTGGATTCGGTAGGATTGATAAGTCTGGGAGCGGAGGGGGAGGGGAATAAGTGTAAGGTAAGTATGTATGGATAAGGTACCTCAGGTAGATATGTATGCGGGTGTGGGAGAGAAGGTGTGTGACGGGAACTGCCTACTGCTGTAAGTATGGAAGAGTGTGTGATATCCAATCTTCTTGGGTGATGGAAAGAGCCAGACAAAGTACAGCAGCAACCGCGAGGTTCTCAGAGTAGGTAGAGTTAGTCGGCAAATGCAGCAGCAAAACAAACACAAACGGGACGGTCAGAGTCAAAAGTAAAATTCCAATACGGATAAAGAATTTGTATTTTTACTGGAGTGATTTCGGTGGCCAGGGCCAGGCGCGGCAGGACCTTGCGGTTGGCCCTTTTCTGTTAATAATTGAATCTTCGCCGGCGGCCACGAGGTTGAGCACGTTGCGTTTTCTCATTCGAACCTTGATGCAAGCGCAAACAACGGGGCCCCATCGAGCGGAAACACCACACCCAGCCATCAAGCCATCATCCATGGGGCCGGAAGCACGCCCGGATCCCAGAACGTGCCTGGGAAGAGGGGGGGGGGGGGGGGAGGTACTCGCGGAACTGCGAGAACGCAAGGACAAGTTGGGATGAGATGAGATGGAAACACTAGGAGTGCGATATGGGGGTTGTGGTTCGAGTAAGTAAGTACTAAGTAATGAGAGAACTCTGCTCTTAACCACTGATGATGAAGAGTCGGGAAAGCATTACCACGGCCATCGAGTAATGAGAGGGTAAGTGGTGTAAAAGCGGAAGATGCGAGGTGGGAAGTTAAGTGGGATGGGGAAACACACCTCTGTATCCATACTCCGTACCTACTAGGTAGTAGGTAGGTAGGTAGGTTGTATGGATACATGAGAAAAGATACGCGGCTACCTCAGCCGGTACGGTGTCGAGGTGGGAGCACGTGTACCGCATTACCTTCCCATTCCATCTAGCACCACCTACCAAAACTTGTGTCTCTTCTTTCTTTCCACTACTACGAGGGTAGCCGACTCCAGTCCCTCACCAAGCAACTTCCAGAAGCTACGCCGTTGTCTGTACTTTCCAGGGTGTACCGGAACCACGCCTGCTACAGCGCAACCAGTAGCAGGCCGGGATCGATGACATGGTCACTGAATCGGGCGATGCATCAACGAGACGGGGACTTCTGGAGCCGTACTGGAGCAATTCTCCAAAAGAGGGGCCGCCCTGGACGGGCCCTGGAACGGGACTACGGCGGGCAGGCCCTCAGTCCATTCCGTCTCAACTCTCAAGGCAAGTCTTTGTGTCCATGTCTCATGAGCGGGAAAGAAAACTTGGAAGGCGCTGATGTATCCGTAGTGGACCTGAGGAGAGAATCTGAGAAAGAGAACGACCTGGAAGAAAGATTACTAGGGCCTCCCCAGTGCCCCATTTGCAGCAATTTTTCTCTTCCCGTGAAGCCTAGCACAGTAGGTTGGCTTTATTATGTAAGAGCATGGCCGCGGTTGGCTCGGGGTTTCGCTTACACAGTTGCTCTTACCTACTGCGAAACTCCTCCAACTTTTTTTTCTCCTCAGACAGTCGGACCTCTCACCATCTGTCCCCAGTCTTTTTTTCTTGCGCAATGCTGCGGCTTCAGAAAAATTTTCCTTATCTTTGGCAACTTTATTACCCTTCTCAGTCTAACCTAGAAAGCACCCACGCCGCGGTCACTCACGGCGGAAACCTATGCAACCAAGCCCTGTAATGCCGCCATTCCATTGTCTCCCAAGGCGTCAAGGACATCAAGAGCGGTCACGGTAGAGACGACATGGGTACAATACCTTACAAGTTACTTACAACCTTTGGGGCATCTTATCATCCCTCCATGCTACCCAAGGCATAGGGAGGTAGTCGTACATCGTACGTCGTACGTACGTTTTGCACCAATGCCATATTCAAGTATCAATGTGGCCCTCGGATATGCTTACCGACTACAGTCCACTCCGTACGCTCACTGCCTGTCAAACACGAACCTACCTAGGTACCCTGACGGGCTTGACCTGCCATCACATCATCACATCAGACCGAGACATCCGCCCATGGATATCGGGGTGTCTGCGCCTCCCTCCATACCGGTCCCTCATGCCTATCTGGACGGACACAGATGCTTGCCCGGCTCGGACCATGGCATCAGATAAGGGCACCTTGATGAGTCCGACTTTGTCGGTTCACGGGCCCTATTACGAGCACGGTCGCCCATCACGGGGTCCTTGATTTTAAGCACTACTGCGCCGGTCAGCCCCCGGCGCAAATCAATGTCTCCACATACTGTCGACTGGCGCGTCGTCAGGTTGGTGATCGGAGTCAATCCCGATGTCACAATACTCTCCGAACCCTGTGCAAACTTTTTCTGGCTCAGAGCTCCACAGGACTCGCAAACGTGATCCAAAGAAATCTGCATCGTCCACCATCACAGAGCCCACCGCTTCGTTATTACGTCCAAAGCTCGAGCCTCCGGACCATGCCACTACCGATACCAAATGGGCATGGCCTTACTTCGTACACATACGTCTGTCCACGATGCTCGACCAGGTTCTCGCGGTATCTCTCAGAGTCCCCTTCTACGTACGGAGTACAGCATGGCCCCCCTGGCCCGGATGGCTGGGTCCCACTGCTAGCTCCCAGGCAGAAGAATCATCGAATATCGCAATTCTACGCCATGATGGGCAAATTGTACTGCACACCCAGACACCATCCAGAATCTCCCACCCACCACACATGCAGACACTAGCATCTGGGCTCTAGCCTCTAGCCTCACTCTCTGCAGGTCTGAGATTAGCCTCTTCGCTGAGCTACCCGTGCCACGCTCCCACCGGTTACAGCGCTTGCTGCATCACCCGGGTTCGACCTAGCACCGCATCACAACGCCGCCCATTTTGTCTTTGAGGGCCCTTCATGCACGTCGGCTGCAGGAGCGTCAAGTAACCGCCTTCGCGGAGGCGCACCCACGTCTAATTCATATTTGTTCGAGCCTGACGCTGGTAATGCCATTGGTCATGGGAGCGTCGTTGTTATCAGCCAATTATGCTGTTGTATGATGCGATATGGACTATGACGGGCGTGGAGGGAAAGGATCAAGGGAAAGGCGCTGTCGCCCGTGTGCTCACATTCAAGTCCACAGAATTCCGGTTCCGATGACGTTCCGACTGATAACATTGGACGTGAGTAGACACCCTCAAAAACCGAAGAATGGCCTAGGCCAAGCCGCAGGATTCAAACGCAACCCAGCGGGGTATCCCTGAAGGCTAACGCGGACTTTGAGGCGGAACCTGCTTCTGCTGAAAGTCTAGACGTGCAGCATTTGTGACCGTTGTCTACTAGAACTTCCGTCATCAACGATCGGATCCAGTGCCTTGGGACGAAGCTCAACTCCCTTCTGAATGCGGTCCGGCAACGAGCCACCGGACATGGCGAGACAATAGGCTGGCGGGCAACAACAAAAGAGCAGTCAACCTCAATCTAGCTATCGGAACTCGGGAGGCGCCAGTATCCGTAATCTGATTGACAAAGAGCTGAGACGACAGGTCAAGCACGAGCAAGAATGCGCCAATGACGACCCAGGAATCGCGCAATGCCGACCTTGCTAGCACCGCATTTTCCTCATTACGTACAAATGGAGCCAAGCAAACGTCCCAGACGACCACCATGCCGTCATCAAGCGAACCAACTGGCGTTCCGTACTGCTCATAAGCCAACGTTTCCCCTCCCTCTCCGAAGTGGGCATCTCCGCGGAGGAGCCTGCAAATCTCCAAATTTACGCGCCCAAGAAGCTTGTTACTGCGTGCGGTCTGGCCGTCGCCAAAGAAACTCGGCTTTTTGCGTAACACACCACAAAGAGCCGAGAAAAAGAAGCAGCCATCCAGCATGAGAGCGAGCTCAGCTCAAGGGACAAGCGCCACTGGTCCCCCAGCTGCTCCAGCCTCCAGATACCTACTGCTACTAATGCAAACAGCCCCCGCTTCGTTGCCGTCAAATCTGCGGGTTTTGCGGGGAAGTTGGTCCATGCCTCGTAGGGCACCGTTGCGCGCCAGCTCCCTCGTCGGCAACTTCGCGCCCTTGAACGAAGAGTGTATGGAGACGATGCCGGCGAGACGTACACATGTAGGACCGAAACACGCCCTAGATGGCTTGCCGTTGTCGAAGACGACATTGTTGGGATTCCATACGCACGTCGCCGCCGGCCACTTCCACCGGCCCACCAAATTTACGTTATAGTATTCACTGTGTGTCGACCGCCGAGAGAACCCCTCATCGAGCTGGCAGGGTCCAATTCCCCGGAGGACGGCCGCTCATCGCACACCATCGGTCCAGCCAGATGTTTAGATATTGGCGCGGACCCGAAGGAGAAGGAAAATCCGGGGTCTATTGTGAATTGCTGTCCAACGCCGACCTCGCGTCTATTTTCAAGTCACCTGAGCCGACCTTTTTTTGACATCCCTGCCAGCTAGCCAGATCCATCAGGGCAATAGACTGCTATCCCCCACGGGCCCATCGTGCTTGTGGGCACCGATATCGCGTGTTGAGGAGAGAAAACTTCACGAGGCCCAGTTGGCACCTAAGCGAGCCAGTTACTGTACTAGGGCCGGAGGTATTGGTGGAGGGGCTTTATGTCCAAGAGGAGGAGCTTCTTTTGGAGGAGCTCGCGGAGCCGCAGCCCCATGTACCCCTTCTGGGTCGGCCGAGCGCGAGTACGATGCTTGTGTGCCCCAGATCAGCTCCGTTCAGCTGCCAAGTCTTTTGATATGTAGGCCTGGGAGCTCGCTGTGCTCATCAGCTTGAACGCGGTAGGCCGTGACCTCAACGTGATTATCCCAAGCTTGGATCCCATGCACCAGACGTAGAGAAATCAAAATCGTCCGGTCCCAGTGTCCGTTCAAACCACGGCTGGGACGCGTCCAGTGACTCGAGACCGACTGGGTCATTGTGAGGCTGAGCCATAATGTTGTCAAAGTATCGCTGCAGATGTCAGTCAGATTGTACGGCTTTGCTTGCTTGGTGAGTGCGTGAAACATACCCAGTCCATCTCTTCATTGCCAACCGCCGCCCATCCACGGTCGAGCCCAGGTTCACTTGGCCCGAGGCCCGACGTGACAAACTCAAAGGGCTGGAAGCGATTCGTCGTAGTCGTAGGGAACGATGTCGAGTCTGTCAGATCGTTAGCAGGTATATCACAAAAAGGGGCTATCTTCACGGCCGTACCACTGATTGAAAGACCGTCGAGTAGCTGTTGGTCGTCTTGGGCGGATCGAGCAGCCGATTCCGGCCCGTCACTCTGGCGAAGCCCCGATGCCGACGACACCTTTGCGCCCCCGTTCTCTGGCGGAGAATTCGGCGGCGACCCCAGCTTGTTCAGCATCGTTTCCAGGATACCCGCCGTCTTCCTCACCTCGGGCACGCCGCCGGCGATGGCGATCCAGACGGAATACGACCTCTGCAGGAGGTGCAGGAGGTACGCCCTCGTCGGCGGGGGATTCATCTCCGCCATCCACCCGGGCGAGGCCGTCGTCGTCGCCGCCGCGCCGGTCTTGCCGTCCACGCCACCCCAGAACGGTTCGTGTCCGATGGCGAGGTATAGGATGGTGGCGGCCAGGAGGAAGTCGTGCACGGCGAGCGAGGAGACGAACCAGCCGTTCTGGCTGAGCATGTTGCCCGGCTGGCAGGCGTGCCATATCGTGTTTTGGAAGTCGAGGAGGACGACGGCGCCCTCGAGGCACTGCCGGCGGGAGTAGTCGTGCTCGCGGCGCGGCGCGGGGTCGAGGAGGAAGCGGCGGTGGAGGACGCAGCGGCTCTTGTTGTAGAGCGAGGCGAGGCCGAAGCGCTGGATGATTTGCATGGGCGGGGTGGTGACGCACTCCTGTAGGGGTTTGACCATCATGAACTGCGGCACGGCGCACCACGAGGTGTTGAGGAGGTCGTCGAGGCGCATTACCTCGGCGTAGGGCGGCGGGGTGAGAAGGTGGGACTGCCGCGCGACCTGGCCGAAGACGAGCATCATGGCGGACTTGTTGATGGGGTAGGTCATCTCGGTGTAGTCCGTCGCGGGTCGGGCCGGCGGGAGCACGAGGGTGTCCTCGTCAAAGTCCTCGTCGATGAGGTTGCGCGGGAGGCTGCAGTCGGCGTCGATGCCGTTGAGCATGCTGGGGAGGCCCATGTGGAAGGAGACGAGGAGGTCGAGCTGGACGGCCATGTTCCACATGCGGCGGCGCATCTCGCCCTCGTAGGGGGAGATGACGGTTCCCGCGGCGAGGAGGCGGTCCGGGTCGCGGTGGAGGCCCATCTTGAGGAGGAGGCGGAGGCAGACGGAGGAGAGGACGTAGCAGTTCATCTGGGCGGCGCGGGAGATGATGAACTCGGCCTCGACGTAGAGGATGAAGGGCGGGATGGTGGCGATGGTCGGGTGGGTGTACCTGCCCCAGACGAGGCAGCAGGCGGCGGCGGCGCGGAAGAGCTTGAAGCGGTCCATGGGCGGCTGCGGGGAGTCGACCGAGAGCTCGTGGGGTGCCATGAAGGTCGAGTAGAAGACGCCGAGGGACATGACCATGAAGAGGAGGGCGAGCCAGTGGAGGTCGGTGCTGGACGGGTCGGTCCAGAAGCGGGCGTACTGGATGGGAGTTGTTGGCAAGATTGTTGGCAGTAAGGGTATGAAGGGGGGAGACGGCGGATAGGAGATTGGAGACTCACTTGTTTTTCAAAAGTTGGTCTGTGAACGATATCTGCCGCCTTGTCAATACATACGAAGCCATGGGGTGAAGATCGCGAGAGCCGAGCCGTGGTGTCTTACGCTGTGATGGACTACGGGAGGAAAAGTACCTCATGATGAGTCTGTCGACAATCTTTTGCTCAGGGAGCAGCTTCAACAGGTCCTCTCTGCTGCGAGGCATGTTCCTCGAGAAGAGCATGAGATCAGGGGCCTCGATCTCGTCTGACGGTTCAGGGCTCTCGTCGTAGTCGGTCTCCGGCTCCTCAAAGTAGCTCTTCATATCCTCAATCTGCCAAACCCTCTCAGTCAATATCTCATCCAGTTCGTATTTCCTTCACATCTTGCATCGAGCATTACAGCGGGGGAAGGGAACAACTCACATCCTCAAGAATAGCCATGAAATGCGTAGCCCCAACATACGTGCTCGCCCTACCCCCCTGAACAAGCTGACCCCCAGGCTGCGCGATGCCCTTCTCCTCCTCCTGCACGGCGTCGACAGCAGCACCAGTAGTCTGCGGTCCTCCTCCTCCTGGTCCCGCTCCCGCGACACCTCCTCCCTCATCCATCATCGTCCTCACCATACCCTCCAGCCTCTTGAGCCGCGCCGCCATGCCCTTGGCGGGCTTCTGCTTCTCGGGTTTCGGCGCGTAGACGCAGCCTTCCGGGCGGGACTTCTTCAGACACTGGCCGCACGGCTCGGAGCGGTCGCATTTCAGCTTGGAGGCGCGGCAGGGACCACAGGAGAGGAGGACGCGGGAGCGTTTTGCGGCGGCTGCTGCTGATGCTGATGCCGAATGGTAGGCGGACGAAGGTCCGGGGCCGGGGGCGGAAGAGTTGGAAGTGGAAGAGGGGTTGCTGCCGCCGGTGCTTGGTCCGGCGGGTGGGGTTACGTGGTCCGGATTCATTGGAGCTTACGGATACCCCTTGGGCGATTCGCGGAGACCGGACGATTAGAGACTGTAAGGCGTGTCCGATGCGGTGCCCGACGCCGCATGTGAGTGGGTGTGACGGGAATGACGGGGGTGGGGCTTAAGAAGGGGGGTGATGCCGTCCGTATTCAGATCCGGAGGTCTAACTTTATTTGACGTCAGTTCCGGAGCCGGGTTTTGTTTCTCCTTTGACAACCGCTAATGTTGTTTGTCGTCCTGTGTCAGCGTGTAATTGCGTGTGCGTCTGAAAGGAAACCCCGTTTGGGAATGCAGCAGGATGCAAGTCACGTTTGGGTCATTCTCTTGATTCAAAAAAGCGGCCAAAAACCACCTACTAGGCAACTATGAGCTGACGGCTCCATCCGTCGGCCAGTCTCGGGGATACGGCTTGGTTAACCCCGACTATTTTGACGACCACCAAGGTTCCATACCAATAATTACAAAGTGCCAATCCACGATACACAATGGCTGGGTCGAATTGCATCACGACCCGACCTTTTGAGGGAAAATGCCAACAAAAACCAGAACCCAGATTTGCTTTTACTTCTCCCTTGCCGTGCTCCATTTCCAGGGCTCGGCGCGCCACTCGATGCGGCGATCTTCTCGATTTCCACGGTTTTTATATCGCCTTTTCTTGTCGGGAGATTGAGCTAGCACGGCATTCAAGCCCTTTTTCAGCTTGACAGTCCAATTGTCGTACCGTTCAAGCGACTCAATGTTCTCTCCCGCGCTGTTGGAGTGACCGTGATATCCCTCCTACATCGTTGATCCAAGCTTAAATCGGGGCATCGGGCAATCTCTCGATGGTGTACTTTCCGCGTCCACACTTCATGATAGGAACACCGGGTATGCGACGGAGCTAGAGAGATTGATGTTAGCATCTTCGTTGACTTCCGGGCGAGGTTGAACATACCCTGGACACAAGACCCTTATCGTTGGTTGCGACGAGGTACACTCTGTCTTTAGATACCTTGGACACCTATGAAACATTGATCAGTATTTCGATACAATCATCTGATGATGTAGAGTTCGGAGCCTTACGAGGCAGTCATCGGCATACACCTGAGGGAAAACGTAATTAGCAAAGGAAAATCATGATGGGGCTCGCAGTGGACCTTACTCCTTTGTGTGTGCACTTGTGTCGTTCGAAACGGGGGTCGCGCGCTACTCTGAGAGCAAGGCGGAACTTGGGACCAAGCTTTTCCAACTCGGCCATGACACAGTCGGTCACGATGGGGTGGCAGGTAGCTGGCTCGGACGTCAGTTGGTGCCCACAGAATTCGTGCGGTGCCGTAACCTACCGTAGAGACAGTCCATCATGGTTTCTATCACTGGCAACTTCATCTGAACTGTACTAGGAGTAGGTTAGTCGAGGAGGGCGAGAGTTATACGTTCGGGCAGGCTTGTCGTACCGGGAGAAGACTGGAGTACGGTTAACAACTGCGATTCAGAGGTAGGTAGGGGCGACGGGGCCTTACATGAGGTATCGACGAGGACGCCATAGGGAGGCACAAGACTTGAGTTGCTCTCAAAGAACATCTGGGAGGGGACCTGGGGAATCTCTCTGACGATTGTCTCGCCATCCGGACCGCCTCTTTCACGCTTCGCCTTCTGCTCAGCCTCTTCCGCCTTCTTCAGGTTCTCCTTGCGCCGGGCATCGTTCTTGCCGATGACTCGCTTGACCTAGTAGGAACGTACATGGTTAGCAAACTTGTTTGCAAGTGACAGTGTCAGAGAGACGTCAAGCCTCCAACGTTCGGTTGTAGGAATCGCAATCATCGTGAACTTCCGCTCGGTGAACCAGAAAAGTTCTTATCGATAAGGATTCCGATATTTTCTTTGCGATGCGCGCGAGGTTTGGCGCAAAGTAGGGACTGGCGGACGTACTTCACCAAACTTTCTGGTCTTCTTCTGGACACCCATGGTGTCGGTCTCGTGCGGGTAATCGGGTATAGGTCGTCGTCGTAGTCTTCGAGTGGAGGAGTACTGGCGTCTGCGAGGCTGGACAAGGCTGTTGCGTTGACGTTTTCCTGAGTTTAGTCGCCCTGCGTATGTGGCGGGGCCGAGAGCTGGGAAAAAAAGTTTTCGGTGTAGGATGGAGGGTGGTCTCGGTGTCTGGCATACAAGCCCAGGTGAGGACGTTGTCAGTCTGTGCGCTCGGTGAGAACTTTGGGCGAGGCCGCGCAGCGTTTGCGAGCAAGGTGGGTCCTGGGGAGGGTGACCCAGAGCAACCGGAATGAGGGGACAATGAAACTCTCAGGGACCGAGGTGGACAAATGGCAGGGGTCCTCCTCCTCCACGGTTTTCTTCTGTATTTCTATCTGCTCTACCGCTGTCGGGCGTTGGTCTTCTAGCGTTACAATTTCCTTTCCCACCTCAGGAAAAGCAAACAATCGATCAACGGCGCTCAAACGCCGGAGGTAAGGTGGGCGCTGCGCTGGAGTCTGGACTGGTAGTCTGGTGGTGCCTTGCATCAGCACTTCTGTGCACTGCCCTGCGCATGCATAATAGCAGCCCATTATGATCAGAGACGGGTCTGATACCCGCCGCGCCCATTCATGAGCTTGCCTTAGTCTGAAGCATCCGGCATGAATTTCAAACTACTGGAGCACTGGAGGTCTGACGAACGCGAAGACGAAGCGAAGCTGCAAAGATAGGGGACCACCGGGACTCTGGTGGAGAGGAATGGGGCATCATTCGCATTCCACAGCGAGGCTCGCCATCACTTCACGGCCCATTTTTTTCCCAACGAGTTTCGATGATCTTTGGCTAATATTGGGTAAATGGGTGGGCATCTGCCAGGTACGCTTACACGCTTACCCCGGATGGATGGCTCGTGTTGATGATGGTTGCGACCTGCAGCCACTGTAGCGCATGCTGGAAGCCTGGAAATGATGATTAGTGGGATCAACCCTCGCCTGTTGGACACCTCAGTTTTCAATACGAGAGCGTGTGGGCATACGAAAGAAGGCGGAAGCACATCATCATCATGGAGGGCGACTTGTGTACAGTCCAGCAGCATAGTGTGTATAGATGGCACACCGTGTCTGTTTCCCCAGACTTGCGCGTTTCCTGCAGGTCAAAAACCTGGCTTGCATGAGCTGGCAGCACTGTGTCTGCATGTCTCTCTCCCTCTCGCATTCCCAGGAAATGCCGCCCAAATGCACAAAAATAAACAGACCCGACACAGCAGCACGTCAGAACTTTCAGGTGCAGCCATTGGAAATGCGCCGCGCCACAGCCCAGGCCCCAAGGGCAGGGACGAGAACCGCCCAGTCCGCTAACACGAAATGGATGCTGTAGACTGTCGCCTGTTGTGCTTGCTCTCAGCAGGTTCCTCCAGAGCAGGCAAGGACCCTTCCTCCTTTTTTTCCCCAGGCCCGTTCCCTGCTGACCAGGGGCCCGCCTTCGCCATCCATTCCCTTTCTCTTCCCCATCACGCACCCTCATCCCTCCCGTCCCTCTCCTGCTCCCTCCAACCCTTCCTCCCTAACTGACTCCCTCACGACAAACCTCGGAAGCCGCCCACCCAGCAAACGATCAACCGGCACCAGCAATGTTTTAGCCAGCGGGACCTTTCCTTCTTTCATATTGCTTTGCCTGTCCAGTCTGCATCCGCAACTGCCTCGATACTTTCGTTCGATTCTCCCCAATTCATCGCACTCAGCCTGCGCCAGCTGAATGAACCGAACCGCCCCATCCGGAAGGACACCACAACGACGACCCAACCCCGTTTTCTACCCACGGGAACCGACAAAATCGTCGTCGTCGACCTTCTTTCATCGATTCGACAACCGAACAGCATAGAGTGTCTAGACCAGAAGTGACCGACGACTGCATCACCTTGAGTTTGGAGCATCGCATCCCACCGTAAACACCGGACCCCCTCGGACGTAACTGAATCGACCGACCATGGTTTCGTCACGCCATTCGCTGAAGCGCTCGCTTCTCCTGTCCACCTTTGCCGCCTTGTCTCTCTTCTCTGCCACGGGTCTCGCGCAAGATAGTAGCAGTGGAGGAAATGCCCAGACCAGTGCTTCGCAGGCAGCTTCTACAGACGATGCCACCACCTCGGCTGCGCAGCCTTCGCGCACCAACGCGGCAACCGCCGTCATCACCAACACCGGCGCCGTTGCCACAACGGAAGCGAGCATCAGTGCCCCTAGAATCACCGGCACCTCCGATTCCACTGGCGATGTCCTCACGGGTCTACCGTCCCTTACAAACCAGCCCATTGTGACGACATACCCGCCGGCCAGTGTACCCCCCACCAACAACGCTCCTTATATGCACCGCTCGAGTGCTCCTCAAGGAACCGTCTTCATTGCCGTGGGCTCCATTCTTGGTGCCTTTGGCCTCGGCATTCTGATCTGGCGCGGCATCATCGCTTGTCTGCTGCACCGCTCCGTTGCCCGCGCTGCCAATGCTCAGTATGTCGCCAACGACAAGCAGAGCTTCCCTGCCCCTCCAGCGCAATTCTACAAGTATACCGACCGCGAATCCACTCCTTCTCTCGTTCCCAATGGAGGACGTGGTGTGCGTAGAACGCAGCGCGGCCCCATCCCCTCTGCGACGCCGAGCCAGTCGAACCTCTTCTTCTCGCCCACCGCAGCTGGCGGCGGCAATAGCAACAACAATAACAATAACTCGGCCACCAACCGTGACTCTCGTTTCCTTCCTTCTGGATTCTACGCCGCTGCCACCTCGTCTCCCAGTCCTGCTCACGGTCACTCAATAAGTTTGACGAACCTCCGCCCCGAATCCCGAGGCCAGTATGGAAGCCGCAACAACTTGAGGGAATCTACGCCTCCGGAATCCCCTTCGTACGGCGCAAGGCGCGACTTTAGCACCAGCTCGGTCAACTTGTCTGCGGCGCCTGGGAACGGACAAAGAGCTCCCAGTGCTTACCTCGAGGATCTCTTGGACGAGAATCCCAATGCCTTCCCGCCAAGCCAGATGCGCCCCGGATCTCGAAATGCCAACAACTCTCCCGGTGGTCGATTCTAAAAAGAGAGGTCCTTTTCTATTTGGTTACATTCCATCTATGCATCAAAAACAGTTTCATTACGTCATGAAAAAAAATGGCGAGACGTCACGGCTTGGGGTTTTTTGAATGGTACATTCATGGCGTTTAGGGGTATCATCAAGTTGCATCACTGGTTTGGAATACTGTTTTTAATCATCATCCAGTGAGGCCGGGCACTTTTTTCGGTACCGGTCTTTCAGCAAGTTTGAGGTGGAGCGCGGGTCAAAAGGCAAAGGCGGCTCCCTTTTCAACAGGGCTGCTGCGCAAGGGTGGTTGTCTAGTTGTATTTTGGCCCTGTACACCACGACAGGCGTGACGGAGCATTAGACTGGGAGTCTTGGTGACGACGATCCGCCGGTGGCATTTTGTCTTCGCTTCTACATCGCTCGCTGGTACATATTCTTTCAATGAGCAGAAATACTCGAAAATATCTTGAGACAATATCATGTGATGTTTACTAACCATCAAGCTGTAGTTCTTTGTACATGTCGTCACGACAACCGCTGACAATATGCTTCTGCATGGAAAACCTTATGTACGGATTACGTCTGAAGTGTACTCGTCCGGATAGAGATAAAGCTGGTCCGATGTCGTCAGCCCATTTGACTTTTCTCGGCAATCATCCCAATCTATTAAACTTTTTTGACACAACGTGGGCAAGGGGGGGAAGCTTTCCGTGGAAAAAGGAAACATGAGCCTCCTATTTTATACTTCGGATTCGGAGCTGCTACACTATGTAAATGGAACCGAGCGGACCGATAGCAACGTCGCATGTACGGATGGTATGTCCATCGCCCGAGGTTGTCTGGTTAAACGTGCCCCGTGGTAGGGGGGAGGAGATGCATCTTTACTACTTTTTCTTCGTTTCCTTCTTTGATGAATACTGGATATACGGAATGTATCCGCGAATATCTGGTATCTCGAAATCAACCGAGATTTCGCTTCCCAAGCTATCGAGGCCGAGCTGTCGAGACGCATACGACATATCTCAACCCCCAAGGTTTCTACCACCATCACGAGACTAAGAACATCGCTCACCCATTTATTCCTTGAAGTATCAAAACTTCTTTTCCACATCCTCGCTTGAAACAGCTGCGAACCGCAACCAAGCGTACGGCGTACCAGGGTGCATCTACCCGTCGTGAACCCACCGGATCTTGTCACACCCTTTCCAGCGCCATGTATCACGATTCGTCTAACCCCCCTTCCGTGCGACCTAGATCCGGGGGAAGACGAACGCTGTAGATTCGTGACAGAGAGAGACATTTTCGGTTCTTTGCTTCCTTGGTCTCACGATCTCTTGGCTGTCCAAGGCTTGCGGGCGCCTGGTGGGGTTGTGCTAACGAAGAGCAGCAGCAGAGACGACTGGATCACGGGTGGTACAGGTATGATGAGGGCTTCGGCATCACGTTCTATGCGAAACGTCGGTGTGCGGTTTCTTCTTTCTTAACATTTTTTGGTTTCTTTTCTATTTTGTATGACACGCCCTCTATTTACTGCAAGACATGCTCGATGCTTCTGGTATATGGAGGGCCGGGTATGAAAATTACTTGTCCCAGACGCTATTGTCCCTACGATTTCCTTGCCTTCTCTTTCTTGAGGGACCATGTTTGTTCTTCCTGAATATACTGCATTTTATGTTATCCCCTTACATTCACTTATACCACCAGCTCATGATGTCCCCGACTAACTCGATCTGCCAGCTTGGATCTCCAGAGGAGCAGTACCTTCGCTCGCGCCGCGGATATCCTCTAGTCTGATGCCACTGCGGTCACACATGCTCCTGAAGATACCGCCCTCCCGCTGCCACAGCGCAAGAGGTGTATCCAGCTCCGCGATACGGCCGGCGTCCATGACGCAGATGCGGTCGTAGCCGATGATGGTGCGCAGACGATGG